GTAATTCTGAAAATCGTCACTTGTTTTATGGGATTTTTACACATGAGTGGAATAATCGGTAATATTTGCTCTGAGAACTGTCACCATCGAACTGAATAACATTTCAATTAGTAAGGAAGTTTATCATGCTCTCTTTTTAAGATATTGCATTATTTTTTGGGGGTTTACGATTGAGTCACGCTTACAGACATTATTTAAATTACAGAAGAGAGCTTTGAGAATAATATGTAAGGCAGATAGGCGTGCACACTTCAAACCATTATTTAAGGAGCACCAAATTCTCACAATCTATAACCCATCTAATCTAACCCAAACTAGATTTGAAGCCAATCTTAATTTGTTGCGTTCTTAGAATGAACTTACCAGAAGAAACTTGTTGCATGTAGGCAAGAACTGATTCAAATTTTTCATTCGAAGAGTTTTTGTAAAAAGTAAATGTGTAGTATATCCTTCTTTTGATAATATATTTCATCTGTAGTTTTTTGTTGACTTTTTTAATATTGCTCTTGATCTTTTATTTATTTTTCTTTTTGTTTTTACATTATTTATTTCTATCTTTATGAATTGACCTTGTGCTTGTTACATGTGTTGTAAATAACCTATATATTTATTTTTGTGATCTACACCTGAATGCAGTTTGAATGTATTTGTATGCATATTGATCAATAAATTGAATGGGGAATTTTCATATTTCTCAATTTATTTTTTTTTAGACACTTCTAGTGATCAGATATTACATAGTTCACTTTTTTTCCATTTCAATTTATACGTTGTACGAAATTTTTTTTATTGAAATTCAAATCAAAAACTTTGGCGCCAAAACGCGAGGTTTTAATATGACAGCGATCGTGACGTCAAGATTTCGTAAACAACAAACCCAGCAAACGAACTCCTGCTGACGTAGTGCTATTTTTGTGTGTTAAAGTTTGCTTTTTGTGAAAATTGTCGCAATGGATGAAGAATATTGTAAAGAACTGCTTTTGTAAATTTTATTTCACGTGCAAGTCCCCCATCGACAGGTTTGTTATCCAGCCATCATGGAAGCATTGTTTTGGCGGGAAATTTTTTATTTCAATTTTAATAATATTTTTTGTGTAACAAGGGCGGTATCCGTTGGATGAAAACTGGTCATATCAGTATTGTGCAGTATAAACTATCGATTTAAAACAAATTTGGAAAATTTTATTTCACTTGCAAGTTCCCTAATAGTATCGGTAAAACAGAGTCCGTTCCGTCACGTTCCTTCTGTGTGCCAAACCTTTCCAAACTCTCTGTCAACTTCAGATCTCCTAGCAGACGAATGGCTTTTTTCTGGATGAAGCAGTTTCAAGGTGTGCTTGCGGGCAGAGTTTCACATGTAAGAGCAATACTCCTAGTACTATGGAAAGAATGCGGATAAAAAAATTTCAATATTGCCTGACTTCCAATAGAAAATACCTTAATATTTATCTATGTTACACACCTACATTTATAAGGAAAAACTGGAAAAAGTACCTAATATTTGAAAACGCTGCGCGCACGCCTATGACAGGCAGCATAAAGCTCAAAATGAATGTCGTTATTCCCCCTTGCCCTTCAGACGTCGTAGTGCTAGACTCGTAAGGCGAACTATATACAGCCTTTTTACCCTAAACAGAGCGCCAAGTTTTTGAGAGGCCGTTTTAGCTATCCCCGCCACATGATTATGCCAAGACATATTGCTTCCAACCTCCCTAGGGAAGCCCTGGGTTGATTTTGAACCTCTCCGAGGCGACGTGGATGGATCTGCCTTTGAGAAAGCTGCTGAGCCATCTAACGAGAGTCGGTGGACAGCCATAAGAGCCTAGTTTGTTAAGGAGGCTCTCATGCCACACCCTGTTACGTGTCTAGTTTTCATTCAATCAAGTTAGGAGATTGTCCGACATATTTTGCTGCCTTTGGTCTTTTACTACTCTGTCCTTGCCTGATTTTGCCTAGCACTGAAAAAAAGGGAACTATTAGTATAAAATCTTTAATATATATTTCATATGACAGTTACAATAATTATTCTCCATGAAGATATCCACAGCTTCTGGCGATCTCTGAAAATAAGATTGATTTGAGATAAAATAATATCGTATAAAGCAAAATAATTACCATTTTTTTGAGTTTTTATTATTTTGTTCTCTGTTCTGTAGGAATCAGGTAAATCAGCATTTGTTTTCCCTATTTTTGCAGAGGTTTCCATTGTGCAACTTTGAAAACATCAGGTTTCCAGCCTAAAATAATAAGAAAATTTAGATAGGATTAGAATAGGAAAATGTAAACAAATATTAGTAGGGTTAGGAAATTGTTAAAATCAGACAATGAACTTAAGTCAACTGTAGCACCAAAATTTGAATATTGAGTATTGAATGCGCAATATGCATTAATTCAAACTCTCTGAAAACAAACGAAAAATTCCCTAGAATTCAACTCGTGTAACCAGAAATTCTACTGTTGGAGGATTTTTTCTTTTTCTAGAATCACGCAGAAGAGAATCCACGTTATAGCTTTCTTCTGAGGCATTTTGGCCAATTTGAGTGAATATTTGGGAAGTAATTGAGTCTTAAACGGTGGCTATTATTCTTATATAGCATCACAGTAAGTATTTGCTAATTTAACAAGATTTTAGTACGTAAAAACCCAAATTCTGGAAAACAAGTTTGATTCGTGTCATGTGTTGAAATGTCGAAAAGGCCAATCCACATTGGTAAGTCCCTATTATTCATCATTTTATTTTCTATTCTGATCCCTATTAGAGTTTTATGTCCCCAAAACCGTAAGCATCAAAACATTCTGCCACCCAATCTAGCCATAGCCCGGAAACCTGACCAATCAAATTTGATGTGGCTATTTTGGGTGGCATAATGTTACTACATGAGCGCTGCATGAGGGGTCAGAATGTCGGGACGATGATGGAGCTATTTTAAGGGTCAGAATGTTATTGCATGGGCTGGATTCAGGGTCAGAATATTACAGGCGATAGAGCAACGTTTGACGTTAAAAAATCTATAAGTGTATTTTGTACGTGCTATACAATTCAGAAATTTCAACTTTATTTGTGATTATTTTTATTTAAATTATCGACGTAATATTGACGTATCCCCTTATCAGGGCCCTACTAATGTTCATTAAATATTGAATTGAATAATAAGAGAGTTATTTGAATTTCAGGTTCCCTTTCTGTTTTTTTGAACTGCCACCCCCTCACATAGATAACTCATTCACCCCTAGTTACCCCTGTCTATTTAACCTCTCTTTCCCTTCTAAATATTTTTATTAAACCAGTATTATTAGGGTTTTGTTAAAAGAACATAACAACCCTGCCTTTGAAATGTCCAGGGCTATTGCCGCGGGATATACCCATGTTTCTCGATAGCCTCGATCCACACATAGGTGACATAGGCTAACAAGTAAAAGCGATAGGTAATCACTATAATCAGTTAACCTCATAATATCCATTAAATTTAGTTTAATAAAAGTCGTTATTGTTAGTAAAGAGATTTTTAGTGGACCCGTGGAATCCGTGACAGCATAATAGGACGGTAAGATTTGAGATGAGTATCTATTGCAAAAAACAAATTATCGCATCCATTTTATTCAACATTATTAAGCAAGTTAAAAAAATTCTCGATCAAGACGCGCTTGACGATTCGAATCAAATTGAATCTTGGAGGAAAATCCTCCCAGAAGTGATGTTCCATAGCAAGACATTGCTTTTCTGAAGCAGGTTCCAGAGCGACAGACGTTGGTTTCGTAGAGAAATACGTTCCCCAGTAGAAATGAATGTCTCTCTAGAATAAATCTTTGCTCTCGTAAAGAAATTCGTCCTTGTAGTGAGAAATTTCTCTTCGGAGAAAAACTTTGCTTTCGTTGAATAATGAATAAGCTTCTGTAAAGAGAGATATGTCTCTGTGAAGCAAATTATTGTGAAACAGAATGTTCTCAAGGAGAGATACGTATGCCTACGGCGTAATGTTGCTAGGTTTAGTCTAATCTAGGGCAGATTTATTATACAAAAGAACAAAAGAGATAAGCTAAAAGCATGCAAAGGCCTAAAAGCTAAATCTCTAAGCTAATTCCTAGTTATAGCTGATAGATTATAATTTTATAATGCTGTGGCTGATTGATAAGCTCGATAAGAATCATTTGGGAGACAAAGTTTATGGAAATTCACGGAAATATTGTTGTGAAGTCAACTTTTGAGATTTGAAAGCTAACATTGTTGATATATTACGTGTATTATAATTAATCCATATTTTTATTTGCAAAGTCATTTCATAATAATAATTTGAAAGATTAATTTGTTATTTTGTGCTCCACATTTTTAATATCTAACTTCCTATCGGATTTTTTTTCTAAGACCATTAATTGGCTTAATGATTGGTTAATTAGGTACCTAACAATCATGAAATGGCATTTTACTTATGACTAACCAAAACACGAATGTGTATACACGTAAGCCATACAAAATACAGAAAATTATGGCACTTCCGGAAAAATTAAATATTGATTTATTTCTGAAGAAATTCCATGGTTTTAAGAGTTACGTGACTCACTTACCCCAAACCTTTTTCGAAAAAAAATTACATATTTTTGAATTCAAATTCAAAATATATGCTTTATTATCCAAGATAAAAATATCTTATTGACAAAGTCGCAATTAATAAAATAATTTCTGACATCTTTGAATTAAGCAAAAGCATAATTTCCTCATACTTCTTATTGACAAAGTCGCAATTAATAAAATAATTTCTGACATCTTTGAATTAAGCAAAAGCATAATTTCCTCATACTTCTTTAATTCTTAAAATTATTGCATGTATGCATTTCAAGTATGTAGGTAATTAACACCAAATAACTTTTATTTATTTATATTATAAATTTGGAAAATCACACTCATTATTTTTCAACGCTCATTAATTATTGTAATGAACAGGTTTTTTTTACTAGGTACCAATTCCGGCATATATAGTAAGGAAACATATTACTCTTAATCATTACAATCATCACATGAAACAGGAAAAATGACTATGTTTAATGATACCACTCAATCGTTACTAATTTTTAGTTTTTGGATATTATTATTATTTTATGTGACTTTTTTCTATGTTAATCGGAAAATATTTAAGTTTGCTTGGAATAATAAGGGTTTTTTTTTGCCGATTTTACCTGTGGTCGGTACGTCGTGGATTAGTTTAATAACTGGGAAAAGACGTAAGTAGATATTTTTATCAAAAATCTATGACTCTCCCAGTACACATTTTGTCATATTTTTTTTTTCAATTGGAAAATCATGAAAAATTTGTCACCTTAAATTTTCTTCCAGCGGTAGGTGTCAATAAGACGAACAAGTTCATAAGCTAATTCACTTTTTGAATATGTACCTCTACCTGACCTATAAAATCTTTTAGGAAACTTACTAGCTATTTCTAACTGGCTGTATGAGTACATAGGAGGACCGTCATTAAATTTCTGGATTGGCCATACCTATCACTATGTAACATTAGATGCTGATGAGATAAGGATTGTTTTAAGCCACCCAAAATGTTTGAACAAATCCAATTTATACAATGATGTACAAAATGTTTTTGGAAAAAACAGCCTTGCTTTTATTGCACGTAAGTAGACCCACTAATAATAACTATTTTGGAAATTTTCACCAGAAGCTTCTTGATTAAAAAAAAAAAATACTAATATGCTCTCTGATTAGAGTCGCAAGTTTCTAGCTTTCCACAATTTTATTTAAATGAAACCGTAACTGCAATCAACACCAAAGAATTCGTGACATGTTTCAGCACACGGTGCCTTGTGCCTTCTTCAGACGGAATAACTATATTAATATGTTGCTAATATCCTGAAGTTAGAATACATACAATATAGCAGATAACAATATAATTAAAAAGTACCTAGTTACCTACTTGAAGATATAAAAGCAATAACAAAAAGTGGGGTAAAAACTAGGGTGACAATTTTGTTAATCATGTATATAAATTTAACAATAGTGTCACACGCCTTGCAGCTAATGTGGGTAGGACCTCAGGTTAGGGGTTGCTCTTCAGGACTCACACAACTACAAAAAGAAGCCTAACGTATATTGTCTGCTAGTGGGTACATCACCAAAGGGGCACTACGTAGGTGCGCCACATGATTCTCACGTTCGAGGCTCTACGTACATATATGGGGACGCAACTGGTTCCTGCATGTATAGGCGGCGATGTCCTAAAGGGCAAGACTCTCTGGGGTAAGGCGAATTGTTCATTCAATCATATGGCAGACCTTCTCCATTTATTTATTTCTGGCTGATGGGTTTTTCTGATTGATGTTTTTTAATAATTTAAGAAATGTTTCTCAGATTTGTCAATACCATTAATACAAAGAAAATCGATGTCCATCAAATTTAAAAAACGTTCAAACAACTTAAGTTCACTAAACTAGTGGTATATTCTATATGGATACATATTCTAACTTAGCATATTAGTTTAGTTAGTCCGTTTGAAGAAAAAGTATGGAAATCTAAAAACCTTTTTTGTTTCGTTCTAAAATTTGTGAAGGATCAAGTATCGGCTAAATTAATTTCTCGTACATACACTTATTATAAAATCAATATTTGTCTTAATTGATGGTTTCATAATAAAGAAATTGCAATCAGCCAAATTATTCAAATTGCACGCATAGCAATGTATTCTGTAGGTATGAGTAATTATTTAAAAATCACAATATTTATTAATTAAATTTAAATTAGTCTTTTCTTGACTTTGAACTTATTTATTATCTATAATTTGACTGAAATGAATTTTATTGATTCTTGGACCATTTAAGTTGTCGCGTGTGGGTGGTTAATAATAATTCTGGCAGGAAGTGAAAAAATTCATAGAATATCTCAATTACTTACGTATCATTGAATTAACGATCGAAAAGCAAGACAACTATAGTCCCTACTATTTCTTTTTGTCCTCGTCCTTGCAATACTCAGAGAAATACATCGAAACTTCTGTCCAGTGTGGCGCATTGGAGGAGGGTTATCAGGTTCATGTGATCTATACTGACTTTTCCAGAGCGTTTGACAGGGTTGTCCATGGAATGCTAGAATGCTCAGGTTTTCGTGGCGGTTTTTTAAATCTGATTGTTGTCAGCTAATAGGTAGAAAACAAAGAGTAAAAATAGAAAATATAATATCATCAGAGAGAGCTTGACATTATAGTGATCCTTTTTTCACGAATGTGAGTTTTGACAATCACATGAGTAAAAACACACCTGTTGGATGCAAAACTTTTTCTACTATCTGTAATGCTTAGTTGAGTTGAACGAAAATTAAATTAAAACAAGCAGAGAATTATCTACACCATTTCCAACAGTATTTCAAAATCGGTCAGATGTATTTCAAAATAATCACTTTTATTTCAAAAATTTATATTTTAATTTCCAATTTGTCACTTTTATTTCCAAATATATCATTTGTATTTCAAATTAATCAAATGTATTTCAAACTGTACCATTTATACTTCCAAAAAAATCAGATGTATTTCAAAATCATCATTTTGTCATCAAAAACTGTAAGGGAGATACAGGGTGTCTCGTTATAATTTGATTTCTTAAAGTGTACGATATAAACACCATACTTTATTTTTTAACCGAATTGGTCATCTTTGAAATAAAACTGACCCTTTTTGAAATACATTTGATATTTTTTTAAATTAAAGTTGTTATTTTGAAATACATTTGATGCTTTTTGAAATCAACTTTATCTATTTTGAACTAAAACTGGAAATGGTGTAGTTTTATATTTAATAAATGGGTCATAACAGACTACTGACATTAAAAGTATTATTCCGTTGCCTACCACCCAGGCATCACATTATCAACTGTTGGTTGCGCACTTGGCAAGACATGATACATGACACACCTCTAATAAAGAAAAAAGATAATAAGAAAAAAGCTAAACCTAAGATCATTAACATAACAAAAATGCTAAGATAAGCAAAAATAGAAGAGCAACAATTCAACTACAAATATTGATAATATTTAAACACATATCTCAGAAGTTCAGTTTTTCAGGACGCTTAATTAACTTCTTGTTCTGGGAATATCCAAGGGAATATCATTTCCTATAGGGTCTACAGGAAAATCCACTTTTGGTGATGTCTCTAATGAAGGCTGTCTAGAATGCTTGACTTGGACATCACTCTCAGGAACTATCGGATCAAGAACCTTAGAGTTATTGTAACTATCTTCCGCTTGTCTTTGTTCCCTTTTTCTTAAGGGTCTAAGGTAAATGCGGTTTCTTCTATATTCAGCACCTTGCTCAGTTCGAACATGGTATGGTAGTCATTATGGTCTGCTTAAGAAATGATTACAGCTGGTTTCCAGTCAGGAATATTTGAATTGATTGATTGAATCAAGACTTTTTAATGTAGATGTATATCAGGCAGTTTTTCGCATGTTGGTCGTGGTGCAATTTTTGTTGTTTTTGCCGTCACTCCAATTTTTCCTTACTGTCTCTTGCCGAAAATTTGGGTTTAAAGAGACTTCGTATAACTGGAAACGTGGTCCTCAATTTTCTGCCCATTAGGAGCTCACACGGAGCAGGTAAGTCTTGCTTAGGAGTTGCGTTATAATCCAACACAGCTAAGAAGGGGTCCTGCTTACAGTTCAACGCTTTTACTAGAAGACCCTTTACTGTTTGGATTGATCGCTCAACCATTCCATTGCTTTGAGAGTACTCTATGGACTTGAAGTTTTGAGAATTATATCATATCTTGAGCGAAAATTAGAAAATTCTATAGAGTTGAAAGGTCTGTGTCGGAGAATATTTCCAAAGGTAAGCCATTTATTGCAAATATATTTTTCAATGAAGAAATGGTTGTTGCAGCTGTTTTGTTTGGAATTTTGTTGACTATAATGAATTTATTAAAATAGTCACAGATTACAAGAAAATCAATACCCTTGTAAGCATGGGCGCCGCCAGGATTAGTTTCATGGAGGTGCATAAAGACAATGGGACGCGAAAAGTTTTCCGGGTGCCACGCCCAAAAACGGTTATTTTGAACTTTCAAAAAATTAATTTTTCTAGGTGATTGGGTAGATAGTAGAGTAATTTCGGGGAATATGGAATATTCCGGGTAATATGGAATAGCTGCTAATTTTTTTTTGGGGGTGGCGACATCTGAATTTTTATACCTAAGCTGACATCATTTCCACCCTAAACCTCATATGCCCTAAACTATTATTAACCTCATCAGGTTTCAACAGTTGCTTTTTTTAAGTTCGCAAAACGTCATACAATATTAAACGTGTTCATCAAATTTTGCAATAGAGATTTTTAAATTTATGTTTGTATAAAATTATCGCTCATTCTGGCAGGAAAGTCTATCCAATATTCAGTTACTCTTTTAAAGGGGGTGTGACCCAAAAATGAAAGTTCTAGTGCAAAAAAAATCTAAGAATAAATATTCAAACCGCATCTTATTGCTACGATGGTCCGTTTTCGAGTTAGGGCGGTTTAAAGTTACAACTAGGCTTTTGTGACGTCACACTGAATTTTCAGGGACAGTATTAACACGTGTAAGAATTCCCCAAAACTAAAGATAATTATCTTCTAGAGCAAATTGCAACCACTCAAAGTATAGGGTACGGTTCACTGACGACTGATGGCGTTTTCCATTTGTCGTCTCAGTGCGCACGAGAATTTTTCTGGTGCTGTCAAAAACGCGCTGTCGTTCTGCTGTGTCGCCTAACTTTCAAGCTCGATATTTCCGGAACCAAAATTATCGACCTTTGTTCCATGTAGCAATTTTATTCACAAAAAGTCAATCTGTGAGCCCGTGAAAACCGGAGGTCGATATTTGGTCTGGTTCGAAAAATATTGAGCTGGAAAATTAGGCCAAAAGATGTCCTTGCTCGAAAGCAAATTGTCCAGCAGTTTATTTGAAATGAATTTTAGAATTAATGAAGAAGTCATCTCACAAATTCAGATCGAATGGTTCAGATAATAACAACAGCTTCTTCCCCGTGGTTCCACCCGCCGTTAAAATTTAAAAGAAATTGGACTATCTATAAATAATTTAGAGTACCTAATTCATCAGACAATCTTTTTAAACAACAATAATAATATGTATACCTATCTGAAAACAACCCAGATAAGCTGTGGAATTCGTTCAAATAATATAATTTCGTCATCGGATTCATCTTTGCTGATGCTACACAATAAATCCAAAGGTGTAACAACTTTTTCTTTGGAAATATTAGCAGACTTTTTCAAATTTTCATATAGGGTACATGTAAACAAAAACAAAACAAACTGCATTGGCCCTCCACGAGCCTTTCTAGCTCGTGCCAAAAAATGCGCACTGAGTGCATACATAATTGCACTGGATTTCAAATGGAAAATAAAAACTGATAATGTGCAGTCAAAGAATCAAATAAGAATGTAAAAATTGCACTGAGTGCACCTCCGTGCAACAAATGGAAAACGCCATGAACGACCAGAAGACAGCGATTTCGGCGGTTGTGACATCACAATTTCCTGCACATCTTCACAAGGAATTTTCTCGGAGACTACTTTGAATACAGGACTGCGGTTTTCACGAGAGATCTTAGAATTTTTTTCTTGATTTAAGTA